TTTTTTCCGTTCCAACGATTGCTTCACGACTCTACCCTTAATAAAGAAAGGAGGCAGCCACCCCTTTTCCGAATATTCTGTCTACGTGATGCTAACATGCAAATGATGAATGAATTATCTATTACGATGAAAAAGTAATATCTTATTACAGTATCGCATCTTACATTTGAACGAACCAAATATTGTACACCCTAGCCTAGCAAAACTCATGCACAACTAATGATACGCTAATCTTTTATGTACATAAACAAACACATAGTGAGAGAACCAAGAAGAGGAAGGATGGAAACACCTTAAACCAAATCCTAGAAAAGAAAGAGCAGAAAGAGGGTTTACTCAATAACAGGTGCATCTTCTTGCAATAGCAATTGTCTGGACTCGTTCCTCTTGAAAAGCTTCTCAACCACTTCATTCCAACTAGTTTGAGCATTTTTACAATGCATTCTTTTAGCTACTGAGGAATTTCTTCTGTCATCCTGAGAATGTTCCGCAGTTGAAGATTCTGAGGATGATTCTTCTTCTTTTTCTTCTTCAGCGGTGGTTGAAGCATGAGGTATGTTCAATCTAATGGCTCTGTCCAATGCATCTCTGTGTTCTTTTTTGAGTGTTTGCGTCCTTGTAAGTTTCTGGACTTGTGGTGGGTTCATTATGGTCTCCATACTCTGCTCTTTCAGTCTCTACATGAGAACAATTACATTCATTCAAGGGCATTCTCTTGAAAGAATTTGAAGGTATTATATGGTTTCTACTTACTTCTAAGGCATTTTCTGCCTCTCGTTCTATCCAAATAATTGCATGATCTGATGTAGCATTACACGATAAGACTACATGTTCAAATCTTCCGTCTACAGGGATTCCGGTTCTGACCTCTGGAGGATACCTCCCACATCTGGGTACCAAACACAGAATTTCAATTTTATCAAGCACCAATATTGAGAAGATATATTTGCCAACACTATAGTTGATCATACCTGCAACATTTTCTTTCCACAATGTGATAGATTCGACCAGGTGCATAGAGTCTTCTTGGATCTCTGAGCTTTTTATCTTCGGATATGAAGGTATCCCTCAAGCAGGCAATAAATAATAGGCAGGGCAAACTGTCCAAAGCATTAACGCCTGGTTTAAGCAACGATGATAAAGATTTACTCATTGATATAAAACAAAGTACTTTCATTTAGCAAAGAGAAATGACAACTAACCAAAAGATGGATTCAAATATATCTTCCAATGGGGTGGGTGTTCTTGGCAAGAAATCATCCTGGACAAGACAAAATCAAGTTTAAGATTATGTGTGACTGGCGCATTTTTACATCTTTGACCTACAATCAAACATGGATAAAACTACTTTGCTAGAAGGATTTGACAGAAAGATTGGCATAATTGCATGTGGCAATAGATAATTGGATGGAAAAGCTGACTGTGTTTTGAACTATCTAATGATAGAATGTGTCATTATGTCAAACTTTATATCAACCTTGATGTTCATGGAATATGATTGAAAAATCGAAAAACTCACCTGCAGCACGACGGAATATATAACATCAGCATACTTAACAGCCAAGTTGAGAGACATACACCGCGCAGGTGCCACTGCATAGCACCTCACCGAATTCCGAGAAATCCCTCCCAACATATCTGTATGGTTCACCACAATCAAACTCAGCAATGATGCAACCCCTGCACCTAATGAATGCCCTGCAAAAACCATCTTATATTCTTTCCCATTCTCCTCCCAAGTTCTCCTCAAAAATTCCGATTCGTTATTCAAAATCCATATAGCAGATTTCAACAATCCATGATGAACATATCCCCCATCAAACATCTGCATTCCCAATTGATTATCCAGCAACAATTTGTAATCACTATCTTTAACTAAATTCAATCCCCTAATGGCTAATACAATCTCTTTGTTATCGTGGTCGATGTAGATTAAGTAAGGCGGCGCGTGGCCTAGTGTTTGCTCGTAGTCAACGCGCTTGATGGCCCAGTTCGGGTTGAGCCGGTAGCCACCGAGCGGGGTGTATAGAGGGTCATGGAGGTCTGGTTCATAGACCGATAGAATAATGCGACAAACTCGTGGGATAGGCTCGAATTCCTCGGGCGTGGCAATAGGCCAGTTGGCGCTGTCGTCTGAGCCGACGTAGGTGCAGCGCTTCCACCCCCAACGCAGGCAGCCTAATATCACCGCCCACTCTACTCCGCAAGAAACTGACATTAATTGTAGATAAAGATTAATGGATTTGTACAAGTTTGTAAGCTTGGAGCTGAGCTATGAATATACGAAAGTTAAAAGGGAGGAAGGGGCGCGGCGGAGGTGGTGGGTACGGTCTACATGAAAGGTCCTAGGAATTGGGCGGGTTACCAACGACATTTCAAGCATTATTCAACGTTGGAGTGTGTAGATGGCTATTTGACTCGAACATTTTCTCATCGTCATCTAGAAGTTCTACAAGAAACTTCGGATTCAAGGAAAGAANTTTAGTTTGATTATTCAGTTACAATATGTTGGTTTTTCTAATTGATCATCTGATGTGGCATCTGACATGGTTTTTCTAATGGCGCATCTGACATGGTTTTTCTAATGGCACGTCTGACATGGCATCTGACATGGGGGTCCTTCATGCTGAATATTTTCTTAGAAATAGTACCAGAATTTAGCTGAGTGACCAAAATGACTCAAGAAGCGAACTCCAGGGACCACTTCGGAGTTTGGAACAAAATATAGTTTGTTGACTGACATGAAACTCCATTCATGACTACTAGGTTTTTTTGCCCATTATTGGCTGCCTAACCAATACTGCTAATCAAGTATTGTTAATATGAGTTCCTACTCCTTTTGTGCAGCCAAAATAGCCGTGGTGGTTTTAGGAATGGACGTGGAGGTGGACGAGGGGGGCGTGGAGGGGGAAGAGGAGGTGCTCGCTGGAGAAAGAAAACTGTTGAAAAATCGTCCGGTGAACTTGATAAGGAGCTTGAGAACTATCATGCTGAATCAATGCAAACATGATTCGACATCTCTAGTCGAAGTAGTTAGAACTGTATCTGTACAAAGTTTGAGATGGCAATCTTGTAGTGGTTATTGTTTATTGGATGCTTTTGTGTTGCTATGCTTTCTACTTTCTTGTGATGTAAACGAAGAGAACTGAAGTTTGATGCTTTATGTTACCTGGGTGTTTCCATTTTTTCTATTCCTCTGTAGAGTCCCAAATGCTATTTGATTGTTATGTACGTTCAGTGTATTGATATGCATACTTGCATGTATGCACGCACAAATAAATACCTATCAACACTTGGTGAATGCCGGAGCTTGGAGAACACGTTCTACTTTCTAGTTGGCACTTCGAAATGACAAATAGGAAGACCGTACATCACGTTTCATGAGACCATTTATGACAAAACTCGTAAAGTAGCAATTTTGACAGTTCAATCTTGCACTGATAGATCTTTGCACAAGAGAACAAGAGAGAATTTCTAGCAAAATCCAAGGGATCTTAGGATCTAATCTGGAAAAATTTGAAAACGGGATTCTAGCTCGAATTTAGATTTTGGACGGTAAATCCTCCGATCCAGCTATTCTGTAGGAAGTCCTCGAAACTTGAACTTTGTATTATAGGCATTTGTATTAGTTCTATCTTGCTCAGGGGTCTACCATCTTCTATGTAATCTAGTCATATTTTTTTCCGTTCCAACGATTGCTTCACGACTCTACCCTTAATAAAGAAAGGAGGCAGCCACCCCTTTTCCGAATATTCTGTCT